AGAGAGAGAGAGAGAGAGAGACAGGGACGTAGGAAGGGCGGGAAGGGGAGAGAAGAGTGTGGCACAAGCAATGGCCGCGAGACCCGATCGATGTCTCGGCAACTTCCCCTTTCCGCCGTTCAACGCGACACGTCCCTCCTCCATGCCATCGCCATCACAACTCGCCTCATCCCGCTCTCGTCAGCGTCTCTACTCCCTCCCCCCTGCCGGCCGTCCCATCACGCCGCGATTTCACCGAGCATTACCTTCTCCCCTCTCCTTTTCACCGAACTAAATCCCAGATAGCCGCTCGCCGCCGCACCGCTCGTTCGCCTCTTCGAGTCTGTTTACAATGGCGATGCGCTACTCCCATTATCCTCGATGTACTTCACCTTCGGACCGACTGCATCGCCGCAGCGACAGCGGTGACGGCGGTGGTGGCAACGACGATGACGATTACGAGAAGAGAAACGGACCATAGTAACGTCTCTAAACTGATGCGGGACTCGCGCGATTTCATCTCGCCAAGATCCTCAAGTTTTCTTTCCAGTATGATGTATATAGAGTGAAAGCTTTATTTCGGCTCTCTTGATTCTAATGTTTCTTCTTGTTTTATAAAGAGGAAAGTGATGCACCATAAAGTAAAAAATTTTTGTGGTTTTATGGATATTTTTTTTTGGTAGGAAGATATTTGGAATAATAATAAAAGTAAAATATCATATCGATATTACATTAATAGATATATATTTAAGATAGTTTAGAGTTGGATAAAGTTTAGAAGTTTAAAAGTTTAGAAGACAATTTATTAAGCTCGTGAAATTTCTCGTGTCATTTCTTTAATTTTTATGAAGATCTTTAATGAAAAAACGAACATTACGAAATCCGAATTACTGATAGAAATCATGGAGTATGATATTCTATAGCTTGAGCTAGTTACTCAGTTCTCTTCGTAAAAAATTCGTCGTCGGACTTTGTTGTCTTATTTTATGAAGCAGAAAATTATGAGATGTGATAAAACTATAGTTCATCATCAATCAAATCAAATTATCTTCACGAGATGCATAAAGATATTGGATTTGTCAAATAAAGTATGAAAATAACTACACGTTAATATAGTAAACGAAATGAAATTATTAAATCTTATCTTTTTAAGATCAGATGAGAACATTATTATTATATAAAATGTAGTATGATAATATTCAAAATAAAATAAAAAATAATAAAAATAAATAATCAAAATCAAAATAATAAAAAAAAATGATAAATATAACTGAATATTTTATATAATTGGGATGTGCATCAATTGAGAAATAGAAATAAATTAATATTCAAATATCCTCTGCTAACAGTTGAAGATTGATAATGAAATATGTATGAAAAATAAATTTATGAAAAATTAATTACAATATATTAATTATAGAATGCTATGCAATTTTTTAATATTTTCTGCGCTTTTATTCGACTTTCTTCATGTGACGATCCGTGAACAAGGACATGTGACGTCGTCACTCTTCGTTGCTTCGTTCACGAGGGAGATGATTACGCAAATTATATAGAACGACTCTATGTAATAATGAACATGTATGTACGAAGAACGGCAGGGTTTATAAAGAGATCTTGAATTCGAAATCTTGAATTGAAAAATTTAATATGTCAATACTTCGCAATCGATTGCGAATTCAAACTTTAGAAACTTGCACAATTACGGAATTTTCACGAGAGTGAGGATTTGCTGCAACTCTGACTGAGAAATGCAATTAATGTTATCGGAAAGTACTCACTTGAAAAACAAAGATGTTAGAACAGAGTGAAAATAGTAAAACTTTAAAAAGAATTACATGCGGTTTATAAGAAATCTTAAATAAAAAATTTATATATGTATAAAAAACTTATTAAAGAAATAATTATTTCGTAATTTTTATATATAAAATTCATAAAATGAAAATAATTTCATATGAAAGATTTAAGGTATTCGTAAAGAATCCGAAAAGTACAGAAAGTACAGAAAAATAGAAAGTATCGAAGCATCAAAAGATCGACAATAATGAATTATTTCCATAATGAAAAAACATTGTTGTTTCACTCTAAGCATGAAAAACTGCGCGGAGGGGGAGGGGGAATTCGCTGCATGGAATTCTAATGCATGCTAATAGCACGCGTCGTTATCGGAATGTCACTTAATATAGCTCGCGCGCGATGCAAAGAAACAAGAAAGCACCCGACAATTTAAATCGGTCGAATAATGTATATATCAGATACGGAATTATTTCTGCGCGACATGATATGCGCGGAAGACAGTGAACTTTGCCAGAACTTTCGAATTATTTATCCATTCAATTCAACAGCCTTAATCAATAAAAATGTTTCTACTATGAGACTTTAAATCGTTTTCAAAAATATCAGAAAACAGAAATAATGCTTCGTTTTTATTATCTCACGATTTCCAATATTCTTTTATTTTTAAATTTTCAATGTTAATTTTTTATATTTTAAAATTAATCGAAAATAATATTGTAATTAAGCGAATAAATAATATTGTACAAAATATATTAATTATATAAATAAATTATAAAAGAAGAAGTAGAAATATTTTTAGAAATTAATATCTTTGTGAAATATATTTTTGTGAAAAATAATTTTTATTTGATAACTTATGTTTTAATTTTCTAATATGTTATGCAACTTATATTAATATTGAATTCAATATATTTAATATTGAATGATTAATTATGCAATGCCATCTAGTATGAAAACTCAATCAATCGAAACAAATTGTAAGACTCATCTACTATTATTATTATACATATTTATCTAAAAAAAAGTTAAATAATGCAATTTTAATATTTTAACTTTTGTTTTCAGAATGACCCTCTTTGTCCCAAGACGTATCTCTTTCGCATGAGTGACAAAGACGAACACTTATTCTCCCTCTTCTCGTTTACTCGGCCACGCAGACGTAGCACTACGATCGATTTTCTATAATCCCGATTCGCGCGTGGACGATTACGCTTCTGCCTTCTCTCTGTCTCTCTTGTAGCTAATTAATAAAACTGGAGTATATTTTTTTGTCATAGAAAATTTACGGATATCGTTACTTTCTTATATCTTAAGAAAAATAAAAAATAATTTTAACATTATTCGCACTTTATAGTGCTTTATTCGCTAATTAATTTAAAAACTAATTTATCTTTATTCTTAAAAAGATACATTCTTCTTAAGAAAAATTTTTCAAATAATAAAACAGAAGCAAAAATGTTGTATCAGTATACAGTGTTAAATGCATATTTATCGATATAAATGTTATTAAAAAAATTACATTATTAATAAAATTATAAGAAATCTATTATCCAACATTATTTCCTATTTTTTTTAAAGTCTCTTAAGATATGAATCCTCAAAATAATCAGTATTTTGTCATACATAAAAATTTGTTTCAAAAATAAATAATATTTTATAACATTTTAATGCAATGTTTTTTGTAATTACATCAAAATTTTATAATTCCTCTCGAGTTTTAATTTACGTAAATTACTTCTTCATGTTCCAAAGTAAATGTCATATCAGGTGGCGATATGTAATCAAGTAAGTAATCAGTAATCAAGAAAGTAATCAGTAATCAAGAAAACTATTTTAAGCAGAATCATTTTCACGACCTGTCCATGGATGTAGATATTAGAAAAATCAGTACTGAACCGATATCATATTTTTAACAGTAAAGATTTAAATAGATGATAACGTTAGTCTTCATGACTCACAGAAAAGATTCTCTTCCAATGTAAACACTGAAGAACAGTTTATCAGTTCTGCGTGAGTTTATCAATTAGGATTCTTAATTGATAAATATCTTCGACGATTTTCTAATCAATAACTGTCATCTTTCAAAATATGCATTTCCGCCACTATGTTTATAATTTCTTATTTTTTGACCATATAAGCGTTTATCCCTCAAAAAAATTATCTTTTTCGAGTAATATTAAATGTATATAAATTGTACATAAATTAATAATCGTGATATATATCTTCTGTATTTATTGTACTATGCTCACACATATATATTCATTGTCGAAACTTCTTTTGCACCTATGGGAGAGAAAAAATTATTTTAGTTTCCGACAAAGAATATGGCGCCGATGATCGAACGCTTCGTGTACAAAAGCTGTCCGAATATAGTCGCGTGTGGAAATGGTAGCCCGTCGGATTGAGAGGCTGCACGGGAAAGGGGGGAAAGGGGGGGGGGAGAAACAGATCAGTGGGGAGGTAGAAACTCTCGACGTTGTAACAGGTGCCCCCACCTTTCCATCTAGCCGGCTCGTCTCGGCGCCATGTCTCTTTCTCTTTCTCTCTTTTTCCCCTCTGATCCCCGCCATTCTTTCTTTTTCTATATCTTATAACATTTCCTGTTCCCCACACTTCTCTCCTTTGCCACGCTACTTAGTCTCTTTTACGTAAGCTAGCAAACTGACCTGACCCAACTATTCGACCATACTACTATATTACGACGTGATCCTAACCTTCTCCTTCTTCTCTTTCTCCTCCTCCTCCACCACCTCCTCTTCTATCACCTTCTCACAACTGCTACTACTCTCGTCGTTTGTACGTTTCCGCTTTCGCGCCGAGAGTTTTTGATGACAACTTTCGCTGTCGATTTTTGAATTCAGTCTCTCAATGGCCTATGT